CTTCTCTTGAGAGACCAGTTTGTAATCTTGCAGTCTATTAAAAAGGAAATCTACTATGCTGGTACAAAATTATACAACAATCTCCACCTCAAAAATAAAGGTTTATCCACAACCAGTAACAGTGTAAAGCAACACAGAGAATTCCATTTGACTCACATTTTCTGATCTGTAGATAAATCTATATTGCTAAGATATGACTGACTCTAAACATGAATCTGACTGAAAATGTATGTAATTTTATATATGTGGAAATAACACAAAGTTTGCATTTGTATATGTGAACAGTGAACTATGAGTGTGAAGTTTGTTTGTGTAGGACTCAGATTATTGATGTGGTAATAGAATATTTCAAGTGTAGTGTAATTTTGACTACATCTAAATGCACTATAAAATTAACAAGCATATTTAATAATAAAACTATATATGAAATTTAGTGTGTGTAGTGTACTTCGTTCTTCGGAAATGCTCTGCAAACATCATTGTATTTCTAGTTATGCTCTGATCATAGGCACTGCCTGGAATTTTTCCAAGGGTAAGTAACCTGAAAATTTGCTTATATATTTATGTCTGAACTATTTAATAACACTTTTGTGGATAAATCTAGAGATAAGGTTTCTGTTTAGTGTAAAAATATTTTTAATTCTTCATATTTTATATTTTTGTATTAATATCTATTATGTTTTCTTGTTTTCTCAAATTCTAATTTTTAAATACCTGGGGGAGGGATGATACCTGGAGTATGTCTTTGCACCAAATATATAGAAATTTTAGGTTCTGTGCCTCAATTGCTCAGCTTTGAAAGTTCCTTGTAGAATATTCCAGATCTTCTCCTTCCTAAAATCTTTCATTTCTTGGACATCAGCCATTATCTTGGTAAAGTAAAACACCGTTTAACTTACTGTAACAAATTTTTCATGGAAATATTGAGTACTTTACAACAAAGGAAAGAAACAGGAACACAGACCGGAGGTAGGGTTTAAATAAGACTCAGGATTTGTATGTTACAGCAGTACAGTTTGAAGAGATAAAAAAAATGTGGAAGTTAACATTTTCCATTTTACTTAAAACTTTATTATTGTTATACTTTGGTTTTTCAATTAAATAAAAGTTAAGGAACCTCCTCACCTCCATTAAAACAATACAACTGTCCCATTTAGTTCTCGTTGTTGTGAATATAAATATCTACTACATTTAATAATATTGCATCAGGACTGGAGATATTGTGTTGTGTGAGGGAGTGTGATATATATTAGGTGGGAAGTTCCATCCAAAAACTACACAACAACCTCAAGGATATGGGAATAACCAACATATAAAAATGTATCATCTTTTTCAAAATTATTTTCCCACAAAATGTTAACTAGTTGTACAATTATGTACTTTCCAAAAAACTGCCAACTCTAAACAGAAACATTGTTAAGATAACAATAATAATGACAAGATGAACAAAATAATTTAAATTGTCGCTGAAGACAGGAATGTGCATAGATCTGAATTCGAAAACTCTTTTTAACTTTTCTTCGCATTTTCTCCGTTTTCCTTCAAAATATTACAAATAGAAGGAATTATAACAAAGACACCAGCTTTTTAACCATTTTTTGGTCCCTACATGAAAAATCTTGTCACCGCACATACTTTATATAGTAATATGTACATATACATATATATCTTTTTAAATTTAATAAACATTTCTTAAGAAATCAGTGCTCCTAAGTAATGCCATTATTTACATATTTACTAAATACTGATTTTCAATGCAATTATATGCACCTAAACGAAATTTCCCATAACACAACTAAAAATAAAACAACAAAATGATCTTGGAAACAAATACTGAACTGTGAAGCCATTGGATATAAATTTCTAACATTTCCATTTCCAAGATTACTAACAATTTTAGTTTCAGCATCACATATAACACTCCTTTTCTGATCACATGAAAACAGGAGCCAAACAAATTCCTCAATTCAATAAATGATCAATTATCTACATAAAAACAAGTAGACTGAAAGTAACCATACACCCCAAATTGAGCGAGATACCTAGAAGGTAGATACAGGAGGGCCAACTCACAATGTTGTAATACATGTCATCCATTTTAACACTTACTTTGAACAGTCAGAACAATGGACCTGTGCATGCATTATCTGGATTTATAGTGAAAGGTTACATACAGTCACCTCAAAGACACAACAAGTCAGTAAATGATTTTAGTGGGACAGATTTCAATTGATTTTAAAATATGGATACATTATGAGTAATTGCAGCAAGAGAACAATATTACCAACAAGTTCAAGTTTCCTGTAATGGTAACTTGGTGGAAGGCAAATCACTGGACTGGAAGGAGATGCATTTAAAGTAGGCTCAATAATTATTTAGAAACAAAAGAGCTATACTTTTACAGGATACTATTGTTTCTAATAGCACTACACTTTGGCTGGAGCACAGTGGAATGAGCTACAGACAATATTTAATTCAAGAAGAGTTCTGAGAATTCTATCTCCTGGGGTGCAATGTCTTGTAGTCCTTTGACAGCGAGCTCTGCTTGCCGCCTGCTCTCAAGCTGGTTTCTTGCTTCATCCTGAAGCTGGAGGCAACATGTTTTCCTGAAAACGTTGGTTAACTTTCAACGGACTACATGGCGTTATATCTCAGAGGCCAAAACTCTTCATAACCACCACTGAGAAAACCTTAGATCTCATAATGTTTAAACCAAATTTCCAATTGAAGCCTGCAGACCTACCAACAGATATGGATATGAAATTCTCAAGCTTGATGATGTGTTTACTGATGTATTTACAGTGAAACACTCCCTTCTTCTCAGCGTCCTTGCTCATTGTGCCCCTTGTGCATCTCTGATATATTACTGCATACCTTATAAGTAGGGACCGGATTTTTATGCCCTTATAATCCCTTAAATATGTATGCATTTATGCATGAAAAACTTCCGAAATATGCACTAAAATATGCACATAAAAATTTATACCAAATATTAAAATTGATTTTACATTATTTTAAGACCAACAAATCAGTATTTAAGTTCATTTTATGTAATCACTGAATGGTTCATTTGCAATAAAGAGCTATACTTAAATACAAATCATGCAACAAAGCCAACATATTTCATTACAAATTTAAAAAACCATTGGTACTCACATTTAGCTCTCCGAACTTTCAACTTCCCTTCTGTTGAAGTTCACAGTTACTAAATGTTCTAGGTTTTCCATAGTTAGTCGCCTCCTTTTGTCTCGTAAGATGTCCTTACAGCGGCAAAAACTTCTTTCAACCTCACAGGAACTTAGGGGCACATGTACAAAAGCCGCTATTTGTCCACTGTTAGTGATATTTTACTTGGCAGTTCAGTACGTTTACCGGATAAAATTTCTTCAATTTCACAACATTTGTTCATAACCTGGATTTTTTTAAAGAATGCTGTGTACTTTTTCCTTTACTACTTCACCTACTCTTCCAGGAACTGAATTCAATTTGGAAACAGTGGTTTTGAACACACTTAACGACTGATACAAAGTAGTATTGCTACTGCTTGCCTCCAGTGAGGAAAAGGTGGATGGAAGTTGAGAGAAGTGAGCAGATATATAAGAAAGATTAGTTTCTAGTTCTGCACTTTTTAGTACATCTTGGGCAATATGAATTGATGCTGCACTTTTGGGATCAAATGTATTCACGACATTCCTAACTGTTTCTAAATGTTCGGTATAACTCGCTGCACACAGCCACGTGCCCCAGCGCGTTAAAATTGGTTCTGGCGGAAGTGGAACGCTCGGTGCTATTGCTTTAAAGGCTTCTTTTCTGTATGACACTTTAACAAACACCTTCTTCACAGAAGACACCAACTTGTCAACAAGTGGAAAATTTGCACGAATTGTTTCTGCAACATGGTGCAACATATGGGCAAGGCAAGTCAAATGTGTCATATTTGGAAATATAA